TGAATCCTCTCACTGCCCCTGCACCTCTGGCCTGTACCCTAATTCTGTATATATAAATAAATAAAAAAGTGCTTCTGTTCCTTACTCTCAACTCTGTTTTACATCTTAGTGACTCGAAGTATTTTTTATGCCCTAAATTCTATATGCAGATATTTACGAACGAATGTCTATTTTCAATAAATGCCTATTCTGTGTAACCCAAATCTCTCCTTTTTTCTCTCTATTTCTACTTTGCAAATACTGTAAATTTTATAGTATTAGATTTGTTACTAATTTACTAATTTGTTACTAATTTGAAATAGCTAGATTCTGTTATTATGGAAGACTCAGAAAATTTAATCTGGTATCTTTTAATACTTGAAGTAAATGTGATGGCATGTAAGGGAAAAAATCAAGTGAAGCAAATTCCAACATGTCATTTTAATACCTCATGTAGGTAGCACTGTGACCATCCATCCTTCTGGGCTTTATGGAAGACTGTTACATGCTACCTCTTTATTAATACCAACCATTTATTTACCGCTTTATTAATACCAACCATTTATTTACTTAAAGGTTTTTTAGCCATCATCACACACTTGCATCAAACCACCCTGGTCAGTTTTAATCCCTAATGAACTTTGCTCCTTTTAAGCCCTGCTTCAAAACCACAAGGAAATCTTTCATGTAACTCGGGTCTGAAGATCAGATTTTCAAACTAACTCAAGTGCTGATAAGACTTGTTTTACACCAGGACAGAATTTCAATTGTATCTAACTTGACCACTACACCCACTATGCTAACAAACCCATGAACATTTCCTTCTTAACTGAAACACACCTGACACACAACTCCTTGGTTTCTGCTGCATTTCGAAACATCCCATTGCCTTAGGGGGAAAAAATACCCTTTTTACTCTTCCCTCCCAATTTTGGAGATTAAAAATTTAAACTATGTGAATCATTCAATGAGTGATGAGCACAAAATGCCTTTAAAAAGAATATTATTTTAGATGGGAAACCTAAGGCTTCTGTGAAAAGCAGTTTTCATCATCTAAAATACCAAGAAATGTCATGCGTGCGTGAACACATTTATCACCACAAACTAGGGAGAATCTACTGATATGTCTTCTTGCTAAATTTTCTGCTCTTAAGTGTGTATTTACTTGTCTTCTCTTTTTTAGCATTCACTCGAGGCAAAATAATTGAAAAGTTTGATCATTAAGTCTTAGAAATCAGAAAACTTCTGTATAAATTCTGCAGTAAGCCTGTAAGTAAAATGAATTCTGGGGCCCTTCCTGGTGGCACAAAGGGTTAAAGCACAGCACCATGAAGCTGGATCCCAGGCAGGGAGGTGACCCACATGGCACGTGGCAGACGTCTCCTTAGCAGTGTATTTCATGGACCTGCCTGCTCTGCTCCCTGCTCTGCCTCTGATGAAGCCTCTCACCACTCTCGCATCTCTGGCCTGTACCCCAGTTCTGTAAGCATAAATAAATAAATCTTTGCAAAAAACTGAATTCTGAAGAAGTAAAAGAAAATGAGAAATGTCTAATAAATTCAGTCCAGTGGAAGTAAAGTGTGCATCTGTCCAATGTTAGAAAAAACAGAGACAGTAAAACTACATTTTGTAAAGGAAATTATTCCAATAAATTTACTGAGTGTCAAACTCTGAATCTCTGAATTAACTGGTTATGATAAATAACAAATCCCTTTATTCCACAACTAAACATTTTGGCAAAATGACTTACTTAAGATATTTTTCTAATATATTTTTAAATATATATTTAAACTATTATAGGGATTAAATGGCCAATTGCCGGATATTCCTTTTTTATGACTTTATATAGATTTTAAAGTTTAACCTTTACAACATATGATATGCTTTATTAGTACATACTTTTATTTTCATGCTTACTTCCTACTTACTCCTAGAATATCTAATCTACAATCAAAAGGTTATCTGTAATTTACAATTTCCAGTGATGTGTTTTTAGTACAGGTAAAAAATAGCAAGTGAACATGACAAAGGAACTCAATCATTTTTTCCAAAGTCTTCTATACTCACATGTATTTTCCTGCAAAAGCTTACAGCTCTTTCAAAGGACAATGATAAAAAACACACACACAACAGATTCTATACATATATAAGATGTAGTTTGCAACCCAGGACACCTAGTATGATCACTATTACAATTTTTTGTTCAAAGTGATTCTCAAAACTTCCTTATACATGGGCAAAAGATGAGGAAATGTTTATAATACAGCTTTCTGTATTATAAAACATTATTACCTTGAGTATAAAGGATTTTGCATTTTAGTCATTTTCCCCTGTTAGTTATTTTGCAACTGACCCAAGAGCAACTATGCCTTAGTCCCATTGTATTTAGTATTAGGACACAAGCTGCAGCTACGTAGGCCTGCAATTCATTATTAGAGCAGAATAGCAAACCAACAGAGTTCCTTGTTTTGAAGAATACTTTTTCATTACTTTCAGACATTCTCTTCACCTAGTTACACTAACTGATAAACTCATAATCAAAGAACTGATAAACTATGTCATCATCATTAGTAGTATTACTAGACTCTGCAAATGTTTACTAAGTATTTACTACATGTCAGCTATTCTTATAAGTGCTTTTCATACATTCAAGTGCATGGTAAGTAATGAGCAAACTACTGCACAGAGAATTTTAAGTTAATTTGCCCAACATCCCACAGCTAGTAAGTGGCAGAATGGCATTCAAAACCAGATAGACCTGTTTCAGAATTCTCATTAACCTAAGCTTCATCAAGAGCATGTAAACATTCTGACAGAAATATGCAAAATTTGGCAAAAGTCTAATAACAATAACTTCTCTACAGCACTTAGCCTTTGCCTTTACAATGCCTGTAAAGACGGGGTGCTTCATCTTCTACCCCAAGGAACAGGGATCTAGAGCTGAATAGTCCTGACAGTACTCCACCATGACATACATTCAGGTCATTAACAAATACCTGCCTATTCAATATGAAAATGGCAGTCTGTTCAACATCTTCTGGGGATTGGCGTGGCCAACTGTTCAACATCTTCTGGGGATTGGCGTGGCCAACTGATACCACTGCTGCTACCTGAGCCATTCTGACTCACTACAGGACAGACAGGGGCTCGCAGACACAAATCACGACAGCAAGGGTCTCCACACCTCAGGTTCAACACACACGCACGCACACACACACGCACGCACGTACACATGAATAATAAAAATAAAAGCAAAGCATTATATAAGAAAGCTTTTGAAATTAGTTGCTGAACATGGTAAAAACCAAGAGTTAAAAGTTTGAACACGGGCCCTCCCTGGTGGCACAGCAAGTTAAAGCACAGCACTGAGAAGCTGAAGCCATTTCTCATGAGTGGATCCCGCCTGCCCCAGGGGTGATCCACATGGCGTGGCAGGCCTCTCCTGACCTGCCCACTGCTCCCCTCAGCAGTGTACTTTCAGTCTCTGGTGAATCCTCTCACTGCCCCTGCACTTCTGGCCTGTCCTCCAGCTCTGTATGCATAAATAAATAAATTAAAAAAAAAAAGTTTGAACATTCCACATAAACCCTAATTTTCCTCAAAAGTAAAATCTGGTGAAAACATACATTTGTAGAAGTTTGCATCTAGAACTCCTAAAACAAATGCACTGATTTTGACTCAAGAAACGTGATTGGAAGGAACAGATAAAATGGATCTTAGAGATTCAAAAAAAAGAAAAAGAAAAAGAAGAACCTAGAAAGAAGGCAGCACAGGCCATTAAGCTACCTCTCCCAATCAGTACTCAATATCCACCAATGAGGAACTACACCCATTTGTTCTGTTCCTGTAGCTGTTTCTTGACCACCATGGCACAAGACTCTAGCACTTTTGTACACACAGCTCTGGTTCCAAAGAGATGATGATCACCAGCCATAGAGAAGCTGGTGGAAGTACATCCAGAAGTGTGTACCTACAGTCTCTGAGACAAGGACATTTTGAAGGCAACAACTTGCCATCCCCAGTTTTATTCCTGAGGAGATGAACTCCCTTTGCCTTGTAGCCAGAGTGTCCCCCCAAAGATTCAAGAAGGCACAAAAGTCAAATGTTTACTTACAAAGACTGCAAAGCACTCAGTCCTCGAATGGCTTCACTGGGTACTGTTTTCAACTGATTGTTTTGGAGGGTTCTGGAAGGAAATTTTTGGTTAGTGAATAACAAGCAATTGCTAACCTTTTTTTTTTTTCCATAGAAGAACACAGGTTCCTTTCTTTCTAAAGCATATTTTCAGTGGCAATGAAAGTGAGAGTGCAAAAAATTAACAAAAAAAGGATTTGTTATAAAGCCAGAAATGAAACTTCATGCCACTCTCTTCCCTAACATGGACTTGCTAGGTAATCCTCATTTCCTAGGGTTGTCTCATTCTCAGGAATCAGTTGCTCATAGCTCTTGGTATTGCTCATGTTAATTGGGAGGTGCTGCAAATTTACCAGGAGATAAAAACAAGCAAGCCCATCGGAATCCTCAATGTCTTCTCAAAGTGGGATTAAGAGGTGGCCAGAAACACAGGCATCAGGGAAAGCCAATTTTAGGATGAGGGTAGCAGACTGAGCTCTTTAGGAAGCAGCAGCTGTGTTCTCAGGGCCCAGGGCAGAAACAGAGCTTTAACCATCTAATAATTATTAGGACCTGGAAAAAATGAGGCACAGGTTGGTACTGTAAAAGAAGTTGTTCTAATTTTTGCCTACAGCCACTTCCAGTCATAGTAATAAAATAACTGCCTGGCATGAATCACGACCACAGACTGGAGTGAGAAAGGGCCCACCTGGCTCACTGAACCAGAAAGGTCTAGTGCCTTGCAGAGGACCACTCAGGAGCAAGTGGGAGGAGTGGGTCTGGCCATTAGTCCATCTATTCCCCAATCTGCCACACTCCTGCTCTTTGCCAGGGACTTATTTCCTGATCCACTGCAAGCAAAATAAGCCATAAGCATCCCAATTCTCTTTAGTTCTAAAATGATTTTCACATGGGACACTCTGTCCATTCCTTGTAAGGTCAACTAATTCAAAGTGCTTATGGCTATGAAATAAGTAGAAAGAAAACCCTACTAGTAAAATTTAAATATGATTTTTTTGATTCAAGGTATTTGTTACACAAAAAGCCTAACATACAACTATCTACACTGGAGGTCAGAACACCTTTTATTTTGATTTTAACTTTTGTTATCTAGACCTCAGGTTACCTAAATCAACCTCTAGCCTCCTATACCATCCATTGGCCCCGCCTTAAATCTTTTAATCCTGAACTAAAAGAAACTGTGCTTAACCTAGCACTAAGCATGTTGACTATGCAGAAAGAAAATAAACAGCCAGCTGTGAAACTCTAAAATTGCATTACTTACAGGACTTTGAGTTCTTTCAACCCAGACAAGGCCTTTGGGTGGATAAAAGAAAGGTCATTGCCAGCCAATCGTCTAGAAAAAAAAAAGTAGCAAAAGAAAAAATTAGCAATTCAGACTCTTAAAAATTCAGAACTCACAATGACTTAATCTGTGATTAAAGCTCCATGTTAAACATTTCTCAAGTCTATCTGACATTAAACACGGACTTAAACCTTTGCTAAAGTGGTCTCAAGATTCTCCCAGTGAGATAAATGCCTCTAGAATTTTTTTTAAACTCCCAATACAATAATTTAAACAGGCACATTTTTATTCTGGTGAGGTCAAGCAAGCCAAAACACATTAAACCAAATTAAGTTTGCTATTCATGGTCACTCTCTGCAGCTTGCAGCATTTTTCTAAGTGCCTCATAAATACAGACTACTGGTCAGCAGGCAGGAGTGTTTATAGGGATCAGACAAACCAGTCTGTCAAGGAGACATGCCTGCAGGAGGCAAGATAGTCTGTTATCTCTCTCCAACCAAAAGGAAGCATATTCTGTGCAAAAGAGAGGTAAAGAATGAAAATCATGCAAGTTTAACTTTGCCAATGAAGTCCTGTATACTTTTCTGTAATATTTTCCCAAAAAACTTTCAAAGTGATGAATGGTCCAGGGCTCCTGGGGTTCTTCTGTAAGATAGGTAAGCACACAATCCTACTGAACCCCACAGCCCATTCCCAAAAAGCTTTCAAAGTGATGAATGGTCCAGGGCTCCTGGGGTTCTTCTGTAAGATAGGTAAGCACACAATCCTACTGAACCCCACAGCCCATACCGATGCACGAACCCAGAAATAGGAGGGAAAATGGGACAGAAGCCTTCAGGGAGATAAGCAGGACTGCAATCCACATAAGTATCTTGTAAACAAGTAACCTGAAGGAAGGTTGTGCCCTTGTCCTAGTTTTGTCAGTGAGTCTTCCCCCCAGGCGACTACGTTTTGTACATAAAACTTTTTTTTTAATTACAAAAGTTTATTTTTACATCATTTTGTACATTTTTTTTTTCCATCTCCATTGTAATCCCCACGGGTTTCCCATCACCAAGTCACCCGTGTGCCATCACCATAATCCCCATGCATTTCCCTCCCCCCCACCCCTCCCTTTTTGATCCCATTCCCCACTCCACCCCCCCAAAAATGTCTCTGGTATGTTGTTCATTATTATTATTATTTTCTCCCCTGGTCCTTTATGCTTCGCTATGAGTGAAACCATCCGGTATTTTTCTTTCTCTTTCTGGCTTATCTCACTAAGCATGATCTTTTCCAGCTCCATCCAAGTTGCTGCAAAAGACATGTGTTTCTCTTTTTTGGTTGCTGAGTAATATTCCATTGTATATAAGTACATAAAACTTTTTTTTAAATAATTTTCTCCTCTCAAGTTCTGGGATTTCATAGTTGTCCAGTCACATGAGTTGCTCCTTTGAAAGCTATATTGCCATGGTCCTTTGTCTTGTCTCTCAGAAGCACCTGAGCCTTCCTCACCAATTTATTCACTAAAAAATTACATTCAGTGACAGGTATTAATGCGTACCTACAAAGAAATGGACATATTATGTCCTTTGTTTGGACTCTCAGTGTCTGCCACTACTCCAATTTAGTTCTCTTATACAACCTGGTAAGAATTTTCTTTACAATCCTGAAATTGGTCACTCAGGTCTGAAACACTCTACTTTTTAGATGTACTATTTTCTCTTGAAGTTTTTGTCCCAGTTAAAACGCAAATAGCCCTGGCATAGATAAATCTTGATCCTTAACTAGATTTACATGGAAATGTGTGCCAAAGACGTAGAGAGTTAATACTAAACAACCCAGATGCTCAGAAATCAAGAGTGAGTGTGTACATTTTTTTCCTATATAGCAAGGACAACAAAGCTTTCATAGGCAACACAACAGACTTAACACAGGGTTCATGCCCCTAATTGAAGTTCTTCCCTCAACCTCCCAAAAAGGCACATTCTCACAAGGAACCCCGGTACCCAAGCTCCATACAAAATGCTTTTCACATTTTCCCACAATCCTGGCTCACAACAGCACGCTTCCTTGAGTCCATAATACCTAAAATAAGCAAGTAAAGAAGATGGTTTTAAGACCTCTTCATGCTTCCATTTAAAAATATTTTTCCTGGCCCTCCCTGTGGTGCAGCAGGTTAAAGTGCTACACTGTAAGCAAGCGCAGCAGCTTCAGTGCGAGTTTGACCAGTGCGAGTTTGATCCCCGGCCCCAGAGGTGACCCACATGGCACAGCAGACCACTTCTGTCTCGCCTGCTGCTCCCCTCAGCAGTGTACTTCATCAATATGCTTGTTGTGCTCCCCACTCTGTCTCTGGTGAATCCTCTCACTGCCCCTGTGCCTCTGGCCTGGACCCCAGTTCTGTAGGCATAAATAAATCAATCTTTAAAAACATATGTATATTTTTCCAATACTGGAAGTTTTCACTCATAGCAGGAGAACAACTATATACCAGAGGCATTTTACGGAGATGGAATGGGAAATGGGATAAAAAACTGGATTATGGTGATGGCACGTGGGTGATTTGGGGATGGGAAGCCCACGGGAATAACAACTGAGATGGAAAAAGGCACAAAATGATGTAAAAATGAACTACTATATTATTTTTTTAAAAAAGTTATAGCAAGGGAAAAAATAAGGATTTTTAAAAATGATAAATATATATATATTTCCTTAGCAAATCTTCTTGATTTTAGACTGGCCAGTTTCGCTACTACAGCTTTATAACCTTCATCTGAAAAATCTCATGTTAAATACCCAAATCTAGTACTAGGTCTTCCCATGAAGACCTCAGCTATTCATTGCATGTCTTATGTGTGAATTCTTAGAACTTGGTCATAGAATACCTTCGACTTGTCTTCCTACAAGGCTGGTTGCTCAGAGTGCTGTAGGAGGTATACAATCGTGTCCAAGAATAGGTCATGCCTCGCTTACTCTGTTACCACCCAGCAACATGTCAACTCATTAGCCAGAAGCTGCTTTCTCAGAATTTTCTCCTCAAAAATGCTCATCACTCCATCCCAATCTACCTTGCTGCTTAGTACAAATCCTTCAAGGATCTGTCTGCACCCCAGAATCACTAATTAAATTCAACTGATAGTGTTTACAACCCTAATACAGTACTGAGAGATCACTTTTTTTTTTTTTTCAAAGATCAAATTGTATCACAGTAACCATGAGGGGCACCCAGGGCCTCCAGTGGTCACTTAGCCAGGACTGCTTCTCCAAAGTGTCTTGAAGACCAACCTGAAGGAACCCAAGTCTACCAAAACAAACATGATAAGTAGACCACAGCTGTTCCAGGTTTCCTATACTTCTGTCTCTAACACCAATTTTCAGGTCCCTATATATTCAAACTTTCCCTGAGGACTACAGTCCACTGCACTGGGGCTCATGAAATTTTATAAATTTACAAATTTTATAAATTTTATAAATTTTCCCTGTTAGAGCAGGGGTTACAAGTCACAGCGTAATCAAGCTATTGCCACCCACTGCAACATGAGGTCGATACCCGGCCAGGGAGCTGAGCCTTGTGGCGCAGCTTACCTCTCCTGTCCCACCCACTGCTCCCCTCAGCAATGTATTTCAGTCAATCCTCCTATTCTGCTGCCCACTCCGTCGCTGGTGAATCCTCTCACCACTACCACGCCTCTCCAGCACCTCCTGCCTACACCCCCATTCTTGTATACATAAATAAATAAAGTCACAAAGGAAGAGGCAAAATGCAGAGCGCCTGATTACTTGTCAACAGAAAACAGTGTTTATCTATATCAGCCAAAATATTTGCTTCCTTTGCTGAAATCTGTCCCTTTATAAGTCATGGGAAAAGTAAAGTAACCTAACTTCAAAAAGCATCCTGTCTTTCGCCACTACTTACGGTTAACAGAAAAGCTCAGGTGAGTTCCCTGCAAGCAGATTATCCTGAAATGCGAGCCTGCTATCTGGAGAAATAAACACCACTGGGACGAGGTGGCTGATGATAATGCTGAGCAAGGGGGCACACTACCTCACTCTATTTTGATTATTTCATTTCTAACTAGAGTAAACATGTCACGCGGAGCCTCCAGGAATGCATCTGCCCACGCTGACCAAGCTGCTGTGTCAGTGAATAATAAACACAACAGCTCGGTGGAGGCTTTGCCGCTTCAGCATTGCACCCTCCAAAGCCTCTTCACATTCTGCTTATTTTATGAGGCAGTATTTCCTACACTAGACCCTGGGGATGCTTCGTATTCAGAACTGCAGATCTAGAAGTGAGCACAGGGTTAGGGACGAAGTTCTAAAATCCTTGAAGAAGAAAAAAACACCTACTTTGTAATGAGCCCACAGTAACTGTAGGCACAAGATGGGCAGTTTACTGATCATTTTAATTACTTCATGACAATAGCCTCCTTCTCTAAGTCCTGAGAAGGTAGGTGACTTGGCAGAAGTCACCCCGCTGAAGCGGAGGAGCTAGAACTCTAGTTCTTATCCAGCTGGCTGCAAGGCTTCTTCACTTTCTCCTACGTGGCTATGGTGCTCATAGTGTCTCACCAAGAGATTGGAAACGATTCTCTGAGAGGCAGAACAAAGTGGATCTTGCAAGTTCAGGGCCTTGTTTGAATAGCCACAGCTCACAGCAGAGAGCTCACAAGCAGGGTCGGTGGAATTAGGAGTGCAGAATTGCCATCAAGGAGTCATTTCCAACAAAGCAATGGTGCCATCTTCCCCATAACCAAAGATGGCCAGTGGGGCGGGGGGACCCCTGAACACATGTGTGAGGACAAAAGAGGAAGGAACCTTAAATTCACTGGGACTCTCTTTTGGATACACAGAACAGTCTCTGTTGTATGTTTCAGCAACTCTTAAGAAAAAGAGTTGGCTGATGAGGGGGCTGATGCTGAGAAGAATTGTCCCATAGCCCACTACAAGCAGAGATCCCATTCTGTGCCTGGGTTGGTCTATGCTAAACCCAACCATTCTTAAGTGTCTTACTGCAAGAGAAACTATTGGCTGACCCCTGAACATTTTTTATAATGAGGATATAATGC